CAGCCTGCAGGCAAAGCAGAAAAGCGCGTCAAGCCGCTACTTGGACGCAGTGCATTGCCGAAAGAGCGATGTAAACTGACGGCCTGTTGCAAGTGCAGCTCATTCGCTTCGGCTAGCTCAGCAACACACCATACGCGTGTCAGGAGCCCGAAATCCTTCTCGAGCGCAATCACTTGTTCCAAGCGAACCTTCCCACAGAAGGTTGAAAGACGCAACACTTCAGGTCCAGTCGACGTGGGCACACTCAGCACTCGGGGTCAACACTGCAAAATGAAGGGGTCAGGCGCTTGCTGATCTAAACACCTGCATGAAGTAACGGCGCTACCTGACCCTGCTGGCGTAGGGATCTCTTGAGGAAGGCCATCATGTCGTCGAATTTGTTCATCTCCTCAAGGACTACTAGCACGACTGCGCTGCGTGCACCTAGACATGTCAAGCGATCCACATTACAACTAGCGTGCAGCTCAGCATCGCTAAGATCACCGGCGAAATGCTTGGGCGTCGTGCATCTGCAGGGGGCTATCGCATGTCCAGTCGAGTCTACCGGTGGCGGCGTCGCACAAATTCCAGCATGTTGGTTCACGGAGAATGCACAGACCCAGTAGCGGACATCCAGGGAGTTTTTCCTGCGCAGGGCATCACTCAAAGTGGAGAATTTGCGGTTCACCAGGAGCTTGGCGATCTCATCGTATTTCTCCACGTCCAGGGCATCGGCAACAATCGCTGCAATGAGGTGGCTGAACTTGGCAAAAGCAAGGCCAACCCTGTTCACAACTTCACAGTCACGTTCTCTCATGGGCCTCTTTTGTTGTGATGTTCCATTGTGATTGAGCCACTGGCAGTCCGGAGCGCTTTCGGCATCAAACCTATATGTTGCTTTTGGAAATCGAACCGTCGAAGAACATAGCAGAAGGTGAGGAGCGCATGGGACCCGGAATGCTTTTCTACCTGGAACCTGACTTTGGCGAAGGTTCGGTCAATTGCGGACAAGAGACAATGTTTCGCCAGCTGTGTGTCACCATCTTCTGCGCAAGATGGGGCCGGCCACCGTTCATCACGGCAGCATACGCATAACCGGCATAACCATGATACCTCACTTGCTTCTTTGTCCCCTCTTGTCAACCCAAACGTTGCACCTCATGACGACGCACTGAAGCCACAACACAAACCTTCTAGGCCCTAGACCGAACCGAAAGGATGTGGCCCAAACAACTTAAACGCTGAGAGCAATGCCAGATGGCTGTAACACTGACCACCCTAGCATGGCATGAACAGCAGTTAACTTGGATGCGGCGTGTTTTGGTGACTGTGATGTTACTCTTCTTCGTGCGGTAGTGGTGAGAATCTTCGCAGTGCAACTGGGGCAGCCGTAAGTAGTGAGTACCAGGTCTTTCGTAGTCGTAGTGAACAAAAGGTCGGAAGAGTAGTCGAAGTGAGAAAGCACTGATCAAAGAGTAGCAAATGCCAAGCTGGAGCTGCAGCTAGAAGCAGCACGTAGAACGTAGCGATCAGTAGGCAGCAAACGAGAAGCATTGAATATAGCAGCCGCGGCCATGATTCGGAAGTCGAACGAACCAATGCACAGCAACGGCGAAAAGTTCATTTTTGTATGTAAGGCAGAGAAGAGAAACGTGTGGCAAGCAGAAAGTCGGAACTAGAAGTGGGGAATGCCTGTCCACGTAGCTTGCAGCAGCAACAGTAGCAGCAGGCGAGGCGGAACAAATCAGGAACAGCCCTAGCAACAACAGCAGTTGTCGCAGCAGGAGCAGCAGCAGCAGCAGCAGCAGCAGCAGCAGCACCACCACCACCACCACCATCACCACCACCACCACCACCACCACCACACTACACAACGATGATGTTGTTGCTGTTGTTGATGATACTGCTACTGCTGGCGGTGCCCGTACGAGTTTCTTGGTCGTCTAGAATTGAGCTACATTTCCTGCCGCAAACATCATCTAATCTGGAGCGAAGATGCTCCCCAGTGGCTGCTTCATCCTCTCCCTGGGCGTGTGGATCTTCAGCCAAGACCCCCCGCGAGGCTGACGGGATAAACTTCTTCACGTGGCGGCTTCCAACTGCAGTGCCCTCATCTGTGTCCCATAGATCGAAGCAATCGTCTGGGGTGCCTGCTCAGGAACAGAGCTTTAGGTGAAGGCCGCTGGCAGTCAGCGAGAGGCAGGGCAGGCATTCTAGCAGAAGCACACGATGCAGGTCTGGAAAGTTGAGGGCCAGGGGCGTGGTAAACCTGCCAACTTCACCCAAAACCTGGCGGTTGCAACTCTCTTCAAGACTCTTTTCGGCAAGCAGTAGAACATATCGCTGGGAAGACTCTACGGAGACTTCTTACAGCAAGGATGTGGGCTTGCCGCGACGAGCCGCCAAACGCTTGAGAGCAGGAGCAACATGGAAAACCCAAATAGGCAGGCTCCTGATTGCTCGCATCTCCTTCACTGTGTGCTCGCTCAGTTCTCTCAAATCCTGTCGCTCGCAACTAGCGATCTTGCTCCAGTCCGGAATTCCTGAAAGCGGCAATTCATGCGAAATTCGGAAGGTTACAGAAGCCGTAGAGTGGCATGGAGAGAGAGGGATGTAGTGACAAGGGAGAGAGAGAGAGAGAGAGAGATATATAGATATATAGATAGATAGATAGATAGATAGATAGATAGGTAGATATTCATTTACACACATAAAGATGTACACATGTTTTTATATGTCTCTATATATGTCTCTATATATATATAGGTATACATAAGTA